GCATTAAATTAAGTTAAAAACATTCCACGGGAATTTGACTGTACATAATTGAATCATTGCTTTGGTCCATAGGAGAATAAATACTTCTTCTAAAACTTACCAGTCATTATGTTCATGTCAAGTCTTGAAAAAAAGTTGGAAAATGTAATTAAAATAATAAAGCAATTCTTTAAACAACAAATGGTGTGAATCTGGTTCATGTTACCACAATAATTATATTATATTATATAAAGAACTTTATATTATTATGAATTATTCTGATAAGTAGATTATAGCCAATAAATTCCTGGTTGACAAAAACAATATATTATATTTTTATGAAAGTGTTTGACAGGCTTTATGTTCTAGTAAAGCCAGAGTATGTTTGTGGATGTACTCGAAGAAAAATGAACATTTGAAGAGTCAGAAATGTTGTTTGTCATTGGGCTAACAACAGTAATGGTTATGTCTGAACTATAGAATATTTATTAATCTTTGCTCACTACATCTCACCTGTCCTACCTGCACGTGTGCTCTAACTCTACAGGTTACCACAACTTAAAAATACATATGAAACATCCGTTATTTCATCTGCCATGAGAAGCAGGTAATTAAAAAAGCTGGAAAACCATATTGTGTCTTCCTGTTGTTGCATGTTTTGGGTATCTGCCCTCACACCTGATTTGATGGGGTAGTCCTTGAGGTGAGCGTCTCCATTTCGAAGATCGAGGCTGGAGGGCGGATAGCCGACCATAATCTTCTGCACGTCACAGGGGATACCAGTCAGCTCCTCCACCTTGCTCTTCAGCTCCCGCACACAGGACTGATGAGTCAGGCCCTGCATTATGTGGCTCCCGTTTTTGGTCTTACAGCGAAGCCGCAACATCCCGTCTGCAACAAACACGCGAGAAGAGAGAATCAGTAACAAGTCGGTATGAACTTCATCCACCGAGGAATCTGCTGTCAAAACTGAAGAGGACTACATTAATAAATAACATTAAAATCTACTCTGGTTTGTTTTTTTTTGCTTATAGAAGCTGGAATACGTAAAATTAAATCCGTATCCATTAAGAAACTTATTCTAATGCCTGACAGTGTTGTTCCACTCTCTTAAATGGTTTGAAATTGATTTTGAGAATGAAGTTATCTTCAGTGTGAACACTAAACTATTTACTGTTTGTTGTTTGAAAAAGGCCTGTGTTTCATTTAAATTTGAAGGTTTTCTTTTATTCATGTTTTATTGAATTATTGACTATTGGTCCAATGTGTTTTTTTTTTCTGT